CTCCGAACGCCGCCGCATCACCACGCGCGCCGCCACCCACCGGCGTCCGCCGCCGCACGCGCCGACCGCCGTCGTCCGCGGCCCCTCCTCGCCTCTCGCCGGAGCTCCTCCTTGTCGGAGGCTCGCCAGAGCTTGTCCCGTGCCAGATCTGGGCGGGTGGATGAGATCCACCCGTCCCCCGAACCAAATGCCCGGATGAACTGCTCCACCCTGTTGACTTTTTGGAGGGTAAAATTCCACCAAGTCCCGGAGCTCTCTGTTATTTTTATGTCCTGTTCTTCATGCCATAACTCCATGACTGTAGCTTCGTTTCATGCGCATGATATATCAAAATGTTCATTGTGAGATGCTCTTTATTTCAGTTCATTGTGGCATGCTTGTTTGAGTTCATCTTGGTGCCAAAATCATTGATGCAAGAGTGCTATAAATTATTTACTGCTGCTGCTTATCAGTTTAGGGTGATTGTCATTTTTGCCACATTTGATTTGTGCTTCATATGGGCATGAGCTCTACATGTGTTTTGAACTATGCCATGCCATCTTTACAGGGGTGCTTGCCATGTATTTTTGTGATCAATGTGGTGACTATCACAAGCATGCAAAGTAGCCTTCATGATATTGCTGTTTTCAGGGACTTAGGATTTTGCCAAGTCCTTGTTCTGCTGTTATTTTGATGCCATGTAAACATGATGCTATAGTGAGATCCATGCTTGTTTTGAGTGTCTTCAGTAAGGGTGTTTGGAACATATGGTTATGGTCTATCCATCCATGCCCACGTTTGCAATTATGGAGTGCCCTAGCATGTCTAATACTTGCTCTACTTTTGCTATAAAATGTTCCTGGCAGATTGTTTACATGTTAATCAATTTTGCCATGATTGTTGCTATTGATCTATGCATGCTATGAACTTGCTCTTGCCATGGTTAGCTTCATGAACATGTATTATTACTGTTGGTATGCTTGCTTTGTCATGCAATGCTTTGTGGTGAGTGGCATGAGCTCGCAAAGTTGCTACAATTATTCTGCTTATGCCATGCTCTGTTTTTCTGCTAAGGCTGAAACTGTTAATAAAACTTGCTATGCTTACATGGGTGCCATCATATCTTCTGTGCCTTTTTGGCTCATGATCAGTAAGGGTCTTTTGTTCTATGCATTTAGTAGATTCATGCCATGCCTTTTTTTGCTATGTTATGTTCCTGTAGCATGTTGTTTGCTTGCTCTAAACATGGCTTCCTGATGTTATTTTTGGCATGTTAGTATTTTCACTAAGTCTGTGAAGCTGATATCTTTTTCACTTTTTCCATGCTTTTTTGAACCTGCTCTTGTGTGATTTAGCCGTAGCTCAGTGTTCATGTTTTGTCAAGCATCTTGA